AGAAAGTAAAATTTTGTCCATTTACGACCAAAAATAATGCTATTCTCCTGACTATTGTTAGTATAATAACATTTTGAATGGTTCATTTCATATAACAATGAGCCGTTTTCAATAGGCTGAGTTTATTATGAGAAATGTAATATGWGATGACCATGTTTTTTATTTTATAGGTATATATATTTATTTTTATTAAATTATGTTATAGGAAATTATAGGAAAATTTGCTGATGTGAGTAGTTCAACTAATTAGTATAAAATACCTTCTAAAAATGTTATAGGTTGAAATCATTATCGTTAAAAGTCAGGGCAAAGAGACTATAAATTTTTTTTTCTTCTCTAATTTATTTTTTTGAGTTTTTTAAATTTAAATATTACGCATAAAGAAAGTTAGAAGGTACAATTTATTTGAAAATTGTAATACAAGGAAAATTAATGACTTAGATTGAAAAAAAAAAAGTTTAAAAGATCTAAAAGGAAGTTGAAAATGGAACCGACATTATATACAAAATCAAACATTTAGCCATTTATTTATAATTTATTTAGTTTACAAAATTAAAATAACAATCTTAATGTGTTTTTTTAAGTAATCTTCTGCGTTCGAGTGTAAGAGAGATTCCCGGAGAAACCATGCGTGGGGATGTTAATTAATTTCACTTAATTTATTTTTTAATATTATTTCTAACACTATTTTATTAATCAAAATAGCGTAATTTAGGTCTTAATCATCGTTTTAAAAACTAATTAAATATTGACCCCTACGTGCAAGACAACTCACTATAAATTAATTATTAATCTTTTTAATTATTTTTTGTCATTTTTTGCTATTTGTTTGATTGCGGTAGAACTTAAGGGTCAATGTCTTTCTTTTTTCTATTTCTTTCATTTTTTACCGACAGTAAAAAAAGGAAAAAAATAGAGAGAGAATTCAAAGAGACCCATCAAAAGGATGTTATAAAGAAACTATAAAAGAAGCTGTCGTTGTTAATCTTTTGATGTAATCTGTTTTTTTTCTCGTTATTTATTGTTATTCGTTTGTGTGTGGTAGAATTTCACTAGTCGATGTCATTGTGTTAAGAAATGAAAAAGAAAAAAATAATTCAACTTGACAACATAGTGGTTGAAACTTGAGAGACGTTGTGCTCATACTCAATTAAATGATAGAAAAGAGCTGGTCGACAATGATGTTATTAAATAAGCTCTGACGAATATCTAAGATATAATTAACTAGACTCTTCTAATAAATACTTGAATATGAGATTATAAATAAAGAATTAAAACCCAATTTGAATGCTGTGTATTGAATTGAAAAAAAAGAAGAGAAAATAGCTAAATTTTACAATAATCACAACTCTTAGTTAATAAATGTACTATTCCCCAATAAGTTGTAACAAATAAATAATTTAATAAAACAAAATTCCAATAAAAAAATTTTAAAATGATATTATTTGGAAAYATGAAAATGAAATATGAAAAAGAAATATAATATGTATTTTTAGAAAAAGAGATATTGATATATATTATTGGTTACAAAAAGAATTAAATTCTATTAAAAAACAGTTTAGGATAGCGACAAGGCTTCCAGGTAGCCATCGATAAGGACGCCCACCAAGGGAGCATCCAACGGCCAAGATGATCCATCGAAGCGAAACTCGATCTGGACCGTCGATCGCAGCCTCTCAGCTTTTGGACATAAAAGGGACAGGTCCATGCACTCCATGCTGAACCATCGCAGCTCCATAATACAATATCCTCTTCTCCAACGGACCAAATTACCCTCCGTCTACAGCGACGTGGCGAGGGTATTTTCGTCATTCCTTATCGCCCTCGCCTGCCCCTGCAGTAACTATGGGGGATCTCTTTTCGCTTTTTAACTGTTAACTGTGAAAAAGGAAAAAGAAAAGCAAATTTAAACCAAAAGATAAAAATAATAGTAATATATTTTCTTTTAATTTAATGAATTATTATTATTATTTTTTAATTTTTGTCCATTTGCAGCCTCGAAATCTGCATATTTACCTTTCGTCCGTACAACGCGGGGAAAAAGGGGTAGGGGAGGGAGGGGCTTTGATTGAGATGTAACGTGTGGGCTTTTTCGTAATTTACGTAAAATCAGGTGTCGTGAATTGTATAATAATAATACTAATAATAATAATATACTTTTTATTTATTTATTCAGGTTTCATTAATAATTCTGAAAATAATAGTTTTCGCCTTGAATATCCGGTCTTATAAAGAGATGACAAAATTATATGATATGGTGGCTCCTTAATTCAAATGAGAGATTCTGAATTTAGTTAGAGTAGAGGGGTCGGGGTCGGGATGGGGACGTCGAATATATTTTGTTATGATTTTGATTTTACTTTCTACTCCACAGTTTTTAGTTATATGATATTAATGATATTTTCAAAGTTAAACAAAGATGAAAAGATTTGAATTTTTTAACTCGAAAGTGAATAATATCTTAATATATTGAACTATATCCATTTTATTATTAATGATACAAAATAAAATGGTATATATATATATATATATTTTTTTTTGTTTGTTTGTACACTTTTTAAATTCTAATTATTTTTTTATAAAAATATTGCTAATAAAGCATTTCTATATTGGATCTAGAAAATTAGTGCAAGAATTGGAATTTAAAAATTAAAATTCGTGCTTGTCTTTGTTCGACTTATCAAGTTATCATATTGCAAATATTCTTTTTTTGCTATTTGTTATTTTATATTTTTGCCCTTATTGTAGTCCACTATTATTTCTCTCATTTTCTCATCATTCTTTAAGAAAATAAAAACACAAATTTAATTTCTCCTATGTTATTGGAAGGATTTTATTTTTGTTTCATTTTCTCATGCCTTTTTATGGTTGGTTAAGATTGTTGTTGTTTCACAAGTGTAGACTGGGATTATTTAAATTTATAAACAAATTAATTTGTTTGAATAACAAAATGACAACTTCACAAAACTCATACTCTTTTTTTTTAAATAAAATTTATATTAAAAAAACAACCATTTCCACACCAACAAAATATCCATTTCGCTTTTAACCCATTAATATTCTATTTTAATTCCATTTTAAATTTCAATCAATATCAAACTAGACCCTCGAATTTGGCAGGATAATTCAATAAATTCATTTGAGCACAATATTTAATCAAATTTTATTTACAACTGAATCAATGAAAATGTAAATAAAAAAAAA